TTTTATAAATAATTTGGGTTTCAATCAGCACATAACCATTATTGTTTTGGAGGAGTTTAACTTACCCTTTAATTAATATTAGTTTGAAAGAAAACAAAAACCATAAATCAAGGGATTTGGGTTTGGATCTCTTTGATTAGATGTTCAAGACTACTGCTGCTGTTTGACCATTAGTTGCAATAAACACTTTTAAAAAGTCTGCTCATAATCAAAATAATACTTTTTTATTCTTAAAAAACCCTCTATTATTCACCAAATAAGATAGAAATGGAAACCAAAAGCTGATCGCTTAAGGGTAGAGGATAAGGTATACAGATAGATAGATTGGCTTTTTGGTGGGGGAGGGACAAAACATGAATCTCTCACTTCAATACAATATGTATATCACACTGTATGTAATCATTTTTTTTTTCCCATTTATTTCACAAAATAAAATATACTTAAATATCAATAATTGAGGTTCATAAAACCTATTCAACATTTGGGATATACCAAGATAACTTTTTATCAAATACAAAACCAAAAACAAAACCAATAACTTTGGCAATCAGCATCGTGTTTTTTACATTGTTTGCAGGATTTTTCATTCACGTGAACAATCAGACAGTTCTAGGAGTACAAGTTAAGCAAAGGCCCAGGAATTCAAGCTCTCTGATAACTCAAAAGAAAATGGGGGGGGGGGGGGGAAGGAAAGTGAAAGCACTAGCTTCTAAGATAATGCTCAGACAAACAAGATAATAGAATTGACAGTGGTCCAATTTACCCGCTAAGCTTAGACAGTCTTGCATTGAGAATCAAAATGTGTGATCGTGATCTTGCTCCAGCTAGTTCATAGCATCTTCTTCAAGATGATATCTCAGATTGATGCTGGTAGCAGGAAAAGTCAAGCACAACTCATATACAGATATATCTTGTTACATTTCTATTGTTCTGACCAACCAAGCACCTCAATATTCTAAGCACCCATTACACCTTAACAGAAAAAAATGAAGGAAATGTCAGATTCGAAATCGCCAAAAAGCAGAGGGAGAGAAATACAATGCCCATCTCTCATTTGCTTGAACTAGCAGACCCCACAAGGACTCCTTGAGAAGAACCTTCTTTCCGGTTGTTTTCGTCTCTCGTCTCACCATCCGACTTTCTTATCCTGATTTTATATTTTGTCTCAAAGTCAGCAATTTCTTTTTTCTTCTTTTCCAAGGCCTCATTAAGTCGAGCAATCACTTCCTCAAGACCCTCCTTATTGCGTTGGACAGCAGGAAGGACCTCTTTAATTGTTCTTTCCACCAGCACACCACCAATCATCCTGTAGCACCGTCTGGAGGGATCAAGAGGCTGAATGGCATTTATGACCAGTGAATGCTCGCTCACTTCCATCTCCAATTCAGTTATCTTTGAGTAAATCTGATTTAATTCAGATCTCATAGCTGCGTAAACATTTGCAACTGCTTGCTCATTCACTGGTTCATTAGTACGATCATGCTCAGAACCGCTGGCCATTGTTCCTCTATATAAAAGAAAAAACAAATTAGTAGCAGGAAAGAAAATATTTCCATTCACATTATCAGACACAATATCTGCTGTTGGGCTAGTTATTGATTAAGCAGAAAAAAGAAAGTCTTGCACATTTAGACCCTGGCTAGATATAAAAAAAAATGTATAGCATTCAATCTCTAAATTAATGTATATATATATAAACATATGTAGACGTTGAAAACGATAACAATGTGTAGAAAAGGATAATAAAAATATGACATGGGTTTGATTTTTATCTTTTCAAACCCATCACATATTATCATTTTCTAAATCTTTTTTCATAGTCAAGTACACATTTTTCCATATATATACACACAGATATGCAATATATAGAAACAAAATCAGAATAGTTTTCTTCAACTAAATAAAGCCATAATTTTTTTCTTGAAAACAATAGTGCACATTTCGTTCAAAATGATTCCTTCTCATCAGAAGGAGACATGAACTACTGACCATAAAAAGATAAATTGTAGATTGCTACAATTCCAGAGCTTGATATCATACAAACAATTTAAACAATAAAAAAAAATACTTTACTCCTTTCAACAAAACAAGCAAACAAGATTAGAGGTGAGTATGATAGGTCAGCGCTGAGCTAGTAACAAATAACGAAACCAGGGATGGTTTACGACTTCTCTTTTTTTAATTCATAAAGCTCAGAACTGAAACAGATAAGATTTGAAACCAGAAGTAATTTGATGATGGAATTGGCTCTGGTTCAGTTACATGGTACAAATGAAACAATTTTCCACCCCTGGAGCTGACGAATCAGTAAGTCAAGAAAGGAATATTTCGACCAAGGTTATGCAAATAGTTTGAATCCAAATTGTGCAGCTGCAATTAATTTCTTGTAACAAATTTCAATAATCTGTGCTGCAACTGGTCAGATGCTCCATAGCAATAAAAAGATTTGGGCCAATTTCAGAAGTGGAGCAGAGACAGGGATCAACAATGGATTCAAATTAATCAATGAGCAAACAATCTACCTATATCATTCTTGTCCATGATAACCATTCCGAGAGGTGTGGCCAAGAAGCTGGAAGCCATCTAGAGCAGGTTCCTTTGGGGTGACATGGGTGATAGAAGAAGGTATCATCTGGTGGCTTGGAGCGAGCTTAAAAAGACACTTTACTAAGGTGGTTTGGGTTTGCGCTCCTTGATGGAGATGAATGTGCCTTTGCAGCGCAAGTGGTTTTAGAGATTTACTATAGAGGAAGATACACTATAGAGAAGAGTTATATTAGTTAAATATGGTAGGGATGATAGTGGGTACTTCACCGGAGTAAGCTCGAGACCTCATGGGAAAAGTTTGTGGAAGATGATGGGAGGGGTTTCCGGAGAATATCATATGGAAAGTAGGTAGGGGAAACAGTCAGGTTATGGGAAGATAGATGGTTGGTTGGAGACACCCTCAGAGTGCAATTTCCTCATACATATGCTATTGCTCAACAGAAAGACATCAAGATTTGTGACTCTTCTGTTGAGAATGGTGGTGGGGGAAAAGTATGGCAAGTGGTAGCGTCAAGAAACTTGAATGTTTAAGAGATCAGTGAGTGTGAGGAATTATTGCACACCCTCTCCCTTGTTATGCTGGATGGTAGTCTTGAGACTCCTCCGTGGAGTTTGGTACCGAATGGGTCCTTCGTGTGAAATCTTTATACAAGAAACTGTTTAAGCATGAGGAAAATGGTTCTCTCTATCCATTCATACAAACGTGGAAGATCTCAGTCCCTCCCCGAGTATTGTTTTTTGCTTGGGAGGCCACCAGGGAATGTTGTTTGACAATTGATAATTTGAGGAAAAGGGGAAAGGAACTGGTAAAGGCTTGTTATCTGTGTAAGTGGGAGGAAGAGACTTCTAATCAACTTTTTTTTTGGTGTCCAGTGGTCTATAAGCTATGGATTATAGTTTATGGGTTGCTTGGTATTAATTAGGTGATGGTAGGTATGGTGAGGGAAAAGTTATGGTCGTGGAAGGGCATCAGTGTTTGCAGAAAACATGTGGAGATTATTCCTGTTACCATGTTTTGGGTAGTGTGGAAAGAAAGGAATAGAAGGGTTTTTGATGGATTGAAGATGTTGATGGTTTTGATATTCTTCAGAATAGATGGTTCTAGACCCTCGATTTTTTGTTAAGGGGTCATCCTCTGTCTTTTATGGAGGATTTAAAGAACCTTTTTGATACTTTAATAGACTTGTAAATCTTTTACATGGGCGGCACCCTCTTGGTGCCTAAATCAATATACAGTTCACACTTTTCATTCAAAAAAAAAAAAGAGCAAACAATCATATACCAAAACTTAAAGGTAAAAAAAAAAAACATAAAGCTTTAAAATTAAAACCATGATACAGAACTGAAAACAATATGCCTGTTATACATATACCTCTAATGAGTGGCAATGGATAAGGGAGCATTAAAGCAAAAGTAATTTATCGAAAACAATCAGCCTACAAAAATATGAAATTAACTAAACAAATGGAACCCAATGATTACTTTCAGGAAACGTTGAGGTTCCACATACAAAAATGATGCACGATCCTAAAACGTAGACCAAATCTAAAACAAAAAGCTTGTCTATAATAGAAAAGCTGCAGCTAGATCTTGACATCAAAGCACCCCCACACTTTCTCTACTGGATGGGTGATAGGTTTGACTTGCATGACTTTCAATTAGATCAAAAAGCAAACACCTTTAATCATTGAATTTGGATTTTTTAAACTTATCCTTCTAGTTCAAAAACCTCTACATCTAAGTAGATGAAATTAAGGTTTTTTTTTTTTCAACAGGTGAATTGGAAGAAAAGAAAAATGAAGAAAAGAGAGAGTAATAGATGAGTGTGTAGAGGCAGTCTCAGATTCAGTGGGAGTCCTGTAGTGAAAACTCCTTGGAGAACTAGAGGTTTAAGACCTAGGGATAGCAACAAGTCAAATTCGGAAACAATAGCACCCTTTGTGTCCCTAAACCACAAATTCCCAGCAAAGATTTTTTTCCCCTCTCTGTCTCCACCTCCAGCAGGGAGATGAGAATTACCCATCTGTAAACAGGTTTTTTCCCTTTTTTTTTGTTCAACATTTATCAAATGTCAATATAAAATTAACAATATTATCAATTCTAATCCAACATAAACATTCAAATCACCATAAATCCAAATTGTTTAATACAAACCCAACAAAAATAGAAATCAATTTGTTCTATACATTAATCTAAATTGGCAATAAAAGGTCAAACTCATCCACCAAAATTTTCCCTACATTGATCAAAATTTTTTAATCCAAGTACAACAAAAACATGGATAGTTCAATACGTCAAAGTGATTCAAACTTCAATACATTGAGAAGGACTCTCATTTTTATTTTTGTTTCTTGGAGACAAACTACATGTGGTTTCCATATGGTACTAATTGTTCTATTGGGCATTTGATTTACCAATTTTTGTGTTTCTTTTCCATGCAAAAACCTAAACACTTAAATGACCCAAATGAATTGGTTGATACCGAACCACAGTGGAAGACTCAGCCCAAATACCAGTTTTCACCGCTATACAAACAAACTAGGCAAATTCAACCGAACTGAAAACACCTTGATGATTAATTTAAATGAGGATACCACATGTAGATCCAAAATCGACCAAGAGCAGTAATCAAATAGCAAAGAAATCGCAAGTGTACTGAAGAAAACTACAAGCCTAACAAAATATTCTAGCAGCAGCTTCCTATTCATTGAGGAAACTAAAAACCATTTAGCAAAACTCGAATATTTAAATGCAAGGAACGAAAGAAGGAAAGGAAAATTACAAGCTTAAAGATCAAGAGCTTTTTTCGCGCGTTGAGTTCACAAATCACAAAAAATTAGATGCGTTTGCGCCGCAAGCGGCAACGCAGTCAGCGGGGACGAGATGAGACCTGAGAGAGGAGTCGAGCACTGGTCCCTTGGAGAAGACGAGATTTGAGAGCAGAGGAGACGTGAAAGTAAGAAAGAGTGAGTGAGATTGGTCGGACGGCGTCGGCGTCGGCGATGAGAAGGAGAGTTCAGTGTTGCGTCCGTAGCGTGTAGAATAGAAAATGGAAGAGAGAAAAAGGAAATGGTGCTTAGTTTTAGGGTTTTATTTTGCCACGTCTTAAAGTTTTTTGGTTTACAAATCTTGGATAATGAATTTAGTTCTTGATGCAATTGTGAGCATAATTTTAACAGATATATATATATATGTGTGTGTGTGTGTGTGTGTGTTAAATGTAGGAATTATTAAATGTAAATTTTGGAATTTTGCTGTTTTTTAACTATGTAATAATCAATGATAACATATATATATATACACACACATATAAATTAATAATAATAATAATAATAATAATAATAATAAAGGGTCAACTTTGCTCGATGACCATGAATGAATCACATTGTAAGGATGGAAATGGTCATACAAGGGATTTCGAGGCATTCTTATTTGTATATGTTTTTAATATATTTCAAAATTACCATATTTTTATAAATAAGTTAAACTTTATTATATGATGAAATTAATTTTAATATTTAGGCATACTTGTAGTAGGACCAATCATTTTAAAAATCTTTAAAATAAAATATATTATAATAATTTTTAATTTTCATGTCTCTCGTGAAAGACGAAAAAGAAAAAGTAAAGATGGGAGAAAAAGAGAGACGAGTAACCCAACCCAAAATTATCCCTTTCATTCATTAATCTCCTCGGCCCAACGGACCAGACCCGGCCCAGGCTTAAATTAACCACCGGAAACGGTGCCGTTTCAAGAAAGAAATCACTCCCCCTTCTGATCTGAGATGCCCGAGGGTTTTTGTTTTTTTATATTCTCAGGTGGAGGGCAACTAGTGGTGGCGTTTGGCTCGAGAGGGGAAGACGTGACAAAGCAGAAGAAGAGAACGCTCAACGTGATACAATATAGTTGAAGGAAAAGTCGAAATTAGAAAGGAAAGCTGAGACCGTTCCTGTTGATTTAGAAGAAGCATTCAAGAGGAAATATAGGACTGAATAAGAGAGCACCCGGACACAAGTGGGGGAAGAAAATCAGAGCAGGGAAGGGTGTTGACTCTAGGAAGAAAGACAGCAGACGAAAGCCTTGGTCTGTGTTTAAAAAAAGGGGGAGAGATCGAGAGAGTTATAAAAAAAATCTTGACTGAGAAGCAGCGGAGAGTATTGGTGGAGGAGGCGCGACACAGAAAAGAGAGAGGAGAAGAGAGACAGACCGAACTCTTGGGGCGAGGAATTTCTGGTTTGAAGCAGAAGGGAGAAGACACACACACACACACACACGCACAGAGTGAGAAAGAGAGGAGAACTCGGTTAAGAGGGCAGAAGAAAACCAACGAGGCAAGTCCGGAAGGTCACCAAATTGAGCATTCCTTTAGGTAAAATATCGAAAACCTGAAATATGTTTCTAATGAAGGCTTGGATTATTTTGCTGTATGAAATTTAAATCAATATGTGAGACATATGTGAAAAATTTGGGCATACTCTTTGGTGTTTGCTTGAAACCTATTTTTCTGTAAGAAGTTTACATGAAACAAGATGTATGTGAAATCCAAGTTGGTCATGTTTTTGGTATGCTGAATATATGGGGTGCGTTTAATTAATCTGAGGTTCATAATTGGTTAAGATTATTGTGGTTGAGTGATGATTAAAATGTGAATGCCCATGAATGATCTGTTCTTGCTCAATGTGTGTCTTTTTGGAGTTAGCAGTGAGTTCAAGAGATCCTAAGTTAGGAACCAAGCTTAGGATCCACATCTTTGTTAGAAATCCAACAAAGGATCTAAGGATAGCTTTAGTAAGATCTCCTTTCTCTCAGGTTATTCTCCCTGATGAAACTTATGTGTGTGATAGTGCCAGTTCTATTACACAATCAAGCTTGAATTGTGAAAGAGCGGTTCCAGCCTAAGGATAACCATGATAAGCCTCTTTTTCCTTTATTTTGCTTAATCATATTATTTGAAGATATTTCAGGTTCCACTATTTATCTCTCATGTTAGGTTTTAGCATGAAGCCCAACGATAACCAGAAGGAGATTCTTTCCTCCTATTTTATTTCACTTTTCAAGATAGCTCTGTTTCGTTCCTTTTTTTTATCTTTCTTTTCTTGGCTTTAACTTGCTGAAGAGTCTCAAACCTGTTTTACTTTGAATCTGGTCTCCTTTTAGGATTTCTAAGTCGGTCTTGACCTCTTATTTAAAAAAAAAAATCAGTCTTGAGCCTCAAATTGAGTGGTGAAATCTTATAGGATACTTAATTTTGACTTCTTTTGTTGGTTTTTGTCCTGTTAATTAAAGAGCAAAATGGTTCATGCTCTCCTAGGAAGTCTTTTGAAATTTCAGATTATTAGCAATATTTCTCTTTCTTTAAAATATGGTTCTGGCCTATGACTATCAGTTCTAGGTGTTAAATTTGTCACAGCTCTTCGTTTTTGCCTTTTTAGTTCTATGGTGTTCCATTTACGCTTCCAAATTTTTTGTCAAGTTCTTTTTAAGACCTTTTCTGGGTTTCTCTAACTGCAGGCCGTATTCCTTTTCAGACTTTCCAAAGTCTGGTGCTACTTATCAAACTATTGATGTTAGTGATGGACATAAAATGGAAACCAATTTGGTGTTTAAAGAACTGGACAGATCCTTGCAGTACCTCTACCGCGCCTTTGTTGTTTCCTTCGCTCTTTTATTTTACTTTTTTTACATTATTAGGGTTGCTTGGCATTATGTAGGAACACAATTCAGTTTTGATCCAACGTGTATGTTAATATTAGGAACCATTTTTTTCCTTTTATTTCTTATGCTTTGAATTTTCCTGAGTGATTGACTAAGCTATGGATGTTTAGACCAATCTTATGTGGTTTGGACGCATTTTTTTAACTCCATTTATGGAAGAAGTTGTTGAGTGTCATAGGAACCATTGGGATTCTTAGAAATTTTTTCTTTTTTTGCTTTTTTCCTTTTTTTCCCTAGCAAATTCGACATCGAATGGTGATATGCTGTTCTTGCTTTGTTCTTTTACTGTTTGGTGGGCTGTTTTGGGTCTGTTGAGTATTTAGGCAGGCGTTTTGTAGGCCTAAACAGGGGCTGTTTTTTGTGTTTGTTAATCACAATTTTAATCTGCTTATTTGTGTGATTGTGTGATGCTGTTGAACTAGAAAGCTGGTGTGTTACTCGTTTGGGAAATAGAATAAACTAGGAAAAGAAGGGGTTGTTTTGAGTTTTTAAACATGATTAATTGATGAACCTTTTGAGACTAAGGAGAACAAATTGTGCCAATTAAGGGGTTCTAAATGGATAAAATTTCTTTCAAGGTATCCTTTGTTTTTCCATTTCTTCAGTGTTCTTTTTTGTTTATGCCTTTGGGTTTTTGTATGTTTCGTTTGGTTTTTTTTCCTTAAATATTTTATTAGCCATTTTCTAAAAAATCTATTCCACCAAATGGGTGCCTTACCCTTTCCCATCTGTTTAGATATTGCGGATTTAGTTTTTCTTTATTAGATCAGCGCATGTTTTGGTATATTATCTTATCTTAAACAGATTGGTGGCAACACCTTTTTCAATTGATTAAAATCTTTTTTTCTACGGAGTTTTTATCCTGTGTCACCATTGTGACTACAAAAATTTTTAAAACTTAAAATTATATTCACGAAATTTATTTTTCAGTTGCCTCATGACACATGTTATGATAGATAGCATCTATTTTCTGCTGATTGTCAGCTGAAATTGGTTTTTGTTTTTCAAATTTAATATGCCTCTTTTCATCCTTTTTTGCAGTGTATGACTATTTGAAGGGCCATCTTATGGCACAATCTTGCGGGTCTGATTTTATGTTCTGCAACTTGTGCGGGACAACGCTATCTTTAGTTTCAATCGGTTATGCTGAATGTCCTTTGTGCAAGTTCCGACGAAATGCGAAAGGTAACTCAGAATTTCTAGGTACCTTTTAGAATTCTGGTCTATTTATCATGGTTTCTTTTATAAGTTTAGATTGTGAATTACCTGACTTTGATTTTGTACATTGCTGAATTAATTGGCACCGTCTCCAGATATCATTGGTAGAGAAATGTCTCACACAGTCAGTGCTGAGGTATGCCTTGAACTAATCTGTTATCTTTGCCTATGATACATGTGATTATGACTAATGAATTCTTCATAGGATGTAAGCGTAATGGGTTAACGAACCACATGTAAACTCAACATACACATGTTTATTTGGATGAATATTTTTCATATTGATTATATGAGTAATTGGTGTTTACATGCAACGTTCTTTTTCTGCCAGGGAGGGGTGGGTGTCGCAGATGGAGAGTGTTTTTCTGTCTTTGGGTCTAAAGTAGTTTTAATTAGATTTGCCAAAGATTTCATCTATAGAGGCTGAGCCGTTTGGATTAATTCCTGATCTCCTTGTCTTTATATGCATGAAATAACCAGTGAATCAATAGAAATTTTCAAACATTTTCTATGCTTGCATTTCCAGTTCTTTGCTTGTACACATTCAGGATATTAAAGAATAACTTTATGCATTAAAGTTTGAACAGTGGTGATCTCATGTAAGCTAGTGCTGGTCCATGGCAATGTTTGATTGTTTCTGGTCTCAGCCTTGCAGCAGCATCTTTAGAAGTTGATTTTCATCTCTTTTTCCTTTTTTTTTTTTTGGCCATTTGCCATATTGTTTCTTATCAGGAAATCAGAAGAGAGCTGGGCATCTCACTGCTTGATTTAGGGAAGGCACAAACTGAAAGTGAATTTCCAAAGGTATTGTATTGCACGGCTATGACATTTCATGAATATTTTTGTGGGCTTTGCCATTCAATTTTTCGTAAGAAATATATTCTCTTGGCAGATACAAAGAGCATGTGAAAAATGCCAGCACCCAGAACTCCTATACTCAACCAGACAGGTATTTTTGTAAAAAAGAATGTTCTCAATTTCCTTTAGTTTCCATTTTTCATTTCTTGATATTAATTTTGCATCTCTTTCTATCTAAAGACAAGATCAGCGGATGAAGGGCAGACAACCTACTATACTTGCCCAAATTGCGGACATCGATTCACAGAGGGCTGAATCTCTTGTTGTGGCTTTCGATATTGAAACGGAAATTGCTTCTCGTGGATAGAAGAGACTGACTGGGGATGGCAGGGAAGGGATATATATATAGCATTCTTTTTGCTTCACAATGAAGCTCACTTATTTTCTCTTTTATGTTTCTCTTTGGACGAGGCTCACACTTGTTTACTTGGGTGGTCTAATTATTGAAAATTACATGCAACAAATGCTTTCTATCTTTTTTCTTTTTACTCTACTTTGCAATTTTGCTTTGCACTCTTTACCATTTAGTAATAGAGTTACTGTGATCTCTCTAGTGTGCATCTTCAGTTTAAACAGATCTGAGTTTGTCTATTTCATGGACTAGAAATATGAATATAACACGTACGGGTTAGGAAATTCAATTAAAAATAATATGATATTTAAATTAATTTTATGTTTAATTTAAAATAAGTATTTTAATATTTTTAATAGATAAGTAAATTAAATCAGTTTTGTGATACGGATAAAATTTATTTAATTATTTATCAAATATGTAAATTTAGATATAATTAAGATTAAAACTTAATGATAACACTGATTAGAAAAGCAAAGAGGGATAATTTTTATTTTAGTTTAACTCAACTACAAAAAAATTAATGAAGCACGCTTGCTTACATAAAATACTGAAGTAAGAAAGAAGAGAAAAGGATACCTTGGCGTATCCAAAGTTATCCATAGAGGCGTTGAAAATCATCTATTACACCCAAATCAATCCCTTCCACTTTGGCCTTGCAGTCTAATGGAAAACTTAGGCAACGGCATGTTGCTTGGTGGTAGGAAGAGCGAACCTGCGAAGACATATTCTTCAAGTCAGTAGCAGTATCAGATATTGGACAATGGTGGTGGACAGAAGGGGAACGAAGGCAAACGGCCAAACAAGAGAACCTTAAGCCTATTATACCAGTGCTTCTTAACTAGTTACATATATTAGATATTGACATCCTAATTCGTAAGGGTGTCCATTTGACCATTTATGCCAAAAAAATTTGGAAATCAAAAAGATTGAATCAACTATGAGAAACTAAGCTGACCATAATAACAGGTGGGTTTGGTTAAAAACTAAAAAATTGAAAATAATTATAGTCATTTTTTAAAAAAATTAATAATTTATGCATTACATAAATTGTATTTTATAAAATATATATGGTACGGGATCAGTTTTGGTATTCAGTTTTTGCACACCCCTCCAATTTGATAAGCATACAATGAGAGTTGACAAGTTGAAGGCTCCAAAACATTAGGCAATTCGACATTTCATGTTTAATTCACTTCTCCAATCATTTGATCCTTCAATTTCTTGTTTAACTCTTCATACTTTTGTGATAAATGGCACCAACTTTGTTGATGAGAAAAGACGAAAATTCTATCATGTCTCAGAGGCATGATGCTTCTAAGACATTCTGAAACATAATCGATAAATTAATTATATCGGTATTTGTTTAAGATACTTTTGGTTAGGATCCCAACATTTTATCAGCTAATCGGGTCCTTTATGTGAACCATTTTGCCTGGACATCTATATATCTAAAGCGGACTTTGTTGCCTGCATTATTCATGGAGTGACCAGCAGGTTTGTCGCTGTGGCTCATTCCATTATTAGAAACATGAAATTTAACCCAGGCTCGACTAACAATTCTACAGCTTGTGTTGCTGTGACTGGAAATTATAGCTCGAAGAACATCCGCAGATGATATTTTTGTGATATACACACCCAGAAAAGCTGAAAATTGGAGGGAAACCCTCAGGTTGTGCTTCCAGCTAAAGCTATAATTCGTAATGGTATTAATATGAAGGAAATTTGAACGAAGGAAAACCTCGAAAGCTGGTCAGGCCACTACATTCTTTACCCATTATTGTTAAATCAGTTCTCCTAACTTCAGAATGTAATCATAACAGTGTTCCTTCTTGTAAACCAGGAATATCTTGTCCAAGTATATTCTCATGGATCATGAGATACAGCTTCGACAATGGAGGCAACTATACCTCCTTTTTTCTTCTGTGATAAGTGGATATGAAGAATATTATCAATTCTCACAAAACCAAGTTACAGAAGAAGTACTGAAGAACCAACAAAAATACTTGAGGACTTCATTATGGATGACTAAACTGCAGATGAGACAAGTTGATCAATTCTGCATAACTGAACATGAAACAACTTGAGAGCTGACACCCTGGAGAAAGATCATCAAGAATGCATTTGGAGTTCTTCCAATCAAGGTAAAATAAGACAGGATCACTCTTCAAACACTAAACAGATGACAGCCAAACAATAGGAATCGGACTAAAGGAAGCTAGAGGTTATCAGGGAGGGATTAGAAGAAGAGAGAAAATTAAGAAGCTAATTTCAGCAAGAACATGAGCCAGGAAGATCAATCTAAGTATAAAGACCAATCCAATCACAAAAGCTGTTTCTCACTTTCTGCTAATATGAAATTGGCAATCTGAGATCATGACTTGCGTGGCATGTAAATATATAGATTAAAGCCGCTTTCTGCATATCTCTTAATCAGCTAGCAATTCGCATCACTTTCTCAGCTACAATAGGACTTCAACAAATTGCCTATAGTTCCATGTTTAGCTAAATGCTACAGATAAGACCCGACCCATAAATGATTATTAAGCAGTGAAATACAATCTATTTCTGGGTCATGTCATGAACACCTAGACTTGAATGCATCAACAAACTGATGACAAAGTGATAACTCTCATTGACAATTCGAAAATCCCTAAACGTAGCTCACAAAGCTGCTACCATGGCATAAGCTAAAATTAACTGTTAAGCAAAATACAGTTTCAGTCATTAGCAGTTGCCAGTTGCAGAGACAACAACTCATCCTCAGGGATAGTCTTGATACGACAATCTGATCGTGGGTAGGAAGCGCATAAAAGTGCATACCCACTTTCCACAACATCATCACTGAGCATACCTTCACTCTGATCAACAGTGCCACTCAGCAGCTTAGCAGGGCAAGTCATGCACACCCCAAGCTGCAGTCATGTGGCACAGACAACCCAGATTCCAATGCCTTGGCGAGAATGGTCTCATCTGGTTCTACTTCCAGCTCCGTCGACTCACCCTCGTGCTCGATCACCACTTTGTACGACCTCACAAGAATTCTTCTTAAAGACCTACTGGCTTGGTGGGTCCGTACTTTTGGGTTGAGATTTATGGGGGGAAAATTAGTAGCGCTTTTTTGTTTGGTGAGAAGAAAGGTAGGAGATGGAGTGAAATGAAGCAGCGTTGCCATGGGTGAAGGAAACTTGTGTGGGTGTTAAAAGTTTAGTCCCCCCCATGGTTGCTTGATAAGATAAGGTCCTTGCTATTAAGAGGGATGAAAGTGAATAACGTCTTTGCTTTTGGTATGGATGCGAAAATTCTTAAAATCACTGGGGTTAGTCTCGAAATATGTTGAGAAGAAGAAATTTTATCATAATATAATTTGAATTTTTTAATTTTGAGAAGTTAAATCTCATATTTAATTTTGTTTAAACATATTAATAATAATTATTTAATAATTTAAATGATTTTCATTTATTTTTTTTCTCCGCTTTTGAAGATGGAGAAAGAATTTAAGTAATTTTTATTAACATTAATTATTAATTTATTTAATCATTTTTATTTTTCATTACGAAGATAACATGTTTAATTGATTAAACTGAATCCAACGTAGAAAAATCAGTTTATTATCTACCAAACTAGTTTGGTTCAATTTTCAATTAAAAATTTGATTAATCTTTGACTAATTTTTAACATATATTAAATATATATCATATTGTGTGTGTATATATATATAGTAGAGACCGAAAATTTAATTTAAGAGTAATTTTTTTATTAAAAGAATTTAAAAAATCATAATTTATTATATTTTCTAATATAAACATTCTTTACATATTTAGTATATTACTTTTGGTAGAAATGTTGTGTACAATGTAATAAGTTATAACAATATATATTTGGTGTAAAAATTGGGTATTAAGCTAACTGGGTCAGCATTTTCCAACATTATTCAGTTGGCAAGAACACAGTATCATCGTTGATCTTACCGAAGATTCAGTTCATAAATAAATCGATCAAGAACAAAATACAGGGTAGGTTCAATCTCTCATTTCCATCTGTACCTTGATTGTTTCAACGATTCTGATTTTAAATTTAATCCCAAAAATTATTCTTTTTCTAACAATTATTTCAAAAAATGACGTTTACTGGTTGGCATTAGTATTTATAGACATGCAATTTTATTGTCACCCCCAGGATTGGCTTGCAGCAAATACCCATTTCCTTAATTTTTTTTTTTTTCTAATCGTTAAAGGTAATGTGCTCTTGCATGAAGATGAATCTCCATTTTTGATACTTTTAATGCTTTTTAATTTACTATGTCACTTCTGGGTGTCTCCGAACCGTGTTCAATATTTTAAAATCGTTAATGCTCGTTGATGGATTCGTTATAATACTCGGTTGCAATTGATTCTTGATCTCTTATTGCTTAAATTTTCTTTTCCTCTGTTTGGCTTCCAAGAAAATAGAGTGAGGAAAAAGAAAACGAGATAAAGGACAAAAAAAGTTGTTCATTGCGTATGGGCATCCCGCGAGGGTGACCTGTGAACTAATTTCTCCCCTGGTAGATATTTAGGCATAGAACCCATCACATTTTTTCGGATTAGCTAAACAGAGCATTAGGTCGTCCACTATTCACCGCTCAAAAGAAAAAGATATATGAACTTCCTTTTCATATTAATTATTTAGGTTTTAGAATTTTGAAATTTCTTACATTTTCTTTGTGCTTGTAATTTTATGCAGTGATCTAAACATGGCATCAGAGAGTTGTGGAATTGCTAAAGATGTTACTGAAGTAAATCGCTCTTGCTGATGCTCAAGTTTCTTCATTCTTATTTATAGAGTGTATTTCCTAAATGCATTGTTGTTTCTTTCTGTACAGTTAATTGGTAATACACCAATGGTATATCTTAATAATGTGGTTGATGGTTGTGTTGGTCGTATTGCTGCTAAACTGGAGATGATGGAACCATGCTCTAGCGTCAAAGACAGGTACTGTAAATCATCTATGTTAGATTACTCCCTGCTAAACTTGTAAGCATGTAATTGCCAGCTTGTAAGATTGCTTTGAGATTCTGCGTTGATTTATCTATTTTCTGGAGATTCCTTTGGGTTTAGACAATATTCCTTCTGCACCCTCACTGATCAATTCATGTTCATTCAGGATTGGATATAGTATGATTGCAGATGCAGAAGCAAAGGGTCTTATCAAGCCAGGACAGGTTTGTTGTCTTTTCTGATCTGCAACTAGAGTATCTTACTCAAATAATGCGGTATTACAAGCCTGGCAAATAAGTGCTATCTTCTTTCAGTTTTTTTTTAATTTTTGTTTCATAAATTAATTGACTCAAAATACTCAAATTTAAAAAGCACATGAGGGCTACAAACTTAATGTTCTATTGAGTTAATATTTTTTATAATCCTATTGTTGGTTTCTGGTTGATCATTACAACCTCTTGTACATAATCTTAAGATACTCAATTTGTAAAAGAACAACAAATGTTTTGAATCCTGAGATTTTCTAAATCTCAGCTTGACAAAAGGTTGTCAGGTTTTATAATTCTTAGAGGAACCGGTTAGATGCTAATCTTTATTGATTTGGACTTTCTTTGCTGTGAATGGTTGCTGAAGAGTACTCTCATTGAACCTACTAGTGGAAATACTGGTATTGGGTTGGCATTTATGGCAGCGGCCAAAGGTTACAGACTTATCATTACAATGCCTGCTTCTATGAGTCTTGAAAGACGTATCATTCTCCGAGCTTTTGGAGCTGAGTTGGTTCTAACAGATCCTGCTAAGGGCATGAAAGGGGCTGTTCAGAAAGCTGAGGAGATTTTGGCTAAGACACCCAATGCTTACATGCTCCAGCAATTTGAAAATGCTGCCAACCCAAAAGGTAACTTTGCTTTGTCAGCAGTTTAGCAGAACTACTTGGTGGTTGAAAAAAAACATAACTATATATTCTCTACTACTGTAGATCCATTATGAGACTAC